ATTTCTCAGCAATAATTCCATTATTTCCATAAATAATAAAATTTTTTTTTACTGAGATTCAATTATTTTCATAAATAATACTCACTGCAGATTTTAATTATTTTTTATACAATTTTAAATTGAATTTCTCAAAAAATAATTTTTTTTTTTAAATTCGTCGAAAAAATTCATTTTTAAGAAACATTGAATAACTCAAGAAATTATATTTTTATTTAAATAATTTAATTCTTGTAGAATTTTTTAATAGAAATGGATTTAAAAACGATTTAAATATTTTTTAATTTAAATAATTGAATTCTCATAGAATTTTCTAATAAATATTGATTTAAAAATGATGTAAAAACAGAAGTTATTGATGGTTTCGAATAATTTTACAATTAAAGAAATTCGTAAATAGATGTAATTAAACATTTTTTTTTTTTTTGAGTATCTAATTATTTTTAAAATGAATCGCAGAATTTTCTTTAGGGTCAGAAAAAAAGTGAAAATTTTGTCTGGAAATCAGGGAAAAAGAAAATTAAATTTTCGTGGCAACCCTGTAATAAGTAGTAAAAGTAATTTATTAGTTAGACATATTTAATTTAAAATTTATAGAAAATTTAAAACAAAAATAGAATAGAGGTAAAGAAATTAATTAAAGATAAATTAAAATATATAGTAAAAATAATTAATATTAAACCAAATTTAAATTGAAATGGAGTGAGAGAAAAATTTTTCCTCGTAAAAACTAAAATTTCTTCGTAGATTTTTGAAGAAATGCAAATATCGCAAAAGATTGAAAAGTGGAGAGAAAATCAAAAATGAAAAAATAAATAGGCAAATAGTTTGAAGGGTGAAATGGAATATAACAATAATGGTGAAAAAAGGGGAAGAAAGGAAAAAAAAGGGATGATACATTTATATATGTAGAATTGTAGAGATTACGAGCCAGCAAGGGAATTGCAGTCATTTTGTAATCTTTCTTTGGACCACTACTCGCCAGCTAATCCATTAGGAAAATTAAGCGCACTCAAAGCTTCTTTTCTTACCAGATAGGCTATGTGTCCTCGTTCATTTGTTAAATTCCTGGCATAGAATGAGACATAAGAAAATCTTCTTTACGTTTCAGATATATATATATAAAGACATCTGTTTCAGAACGTAATTAATATTTTTTTCTCTCTTTCTCTTCTTTTTTTTCTTTCTTTCACATTTACTATCTTCTTCTTTCTTTTAATCTCTTTTTCTATCTTCTTTTTTCTTTTTATCTCTTTTTTCTCTTCAATTTTTTAAATTATCAACGCAGTGACATTTTTTTCCCCCATCACAAATTTTTTTTTTATATTATAGTACTACAATTTTTATAAATTTATAATTCCTTGGAATATAATTCCTTGGAATTTACTTTCAGTTTTCAAATTTAATTTGAAATTTCATTTAAGAATTTAAGAAATTGATATAAAAGTCAATTATATTTCAAATTTTCTAATACACTAGGAAGTTTTAGAATTTTTTTTTTAAAAACACTGATTATTTTGTGAGAAAAAAAATTAAAAAAAATATTTTTAGGGTTTGGGTAAAAGTCGAAGTTTTGTCTAAAAAAATCAGAGAATTCTTTAAATCTTCCATGGAATAATTTATTTTCAGAGTTATTCTTTATGACCAAGAAAAATAATTCATGACCGGAAAATGACCGTGAATTTTCTTTTACGAAAAAAAAGTGGCCACCCTGTAAAAAGAGAAACTGAATAATTTTGAAAAAACGTATCTTTTATGTTTTATGCGACAAAAAATAAATAAATTAAGAAAAGTTGGATTATATTTTATCATTTGAGGGGGGGGGGTGAAGTGAAGAGGTGGGGGAGTGTATATATACAAAGTACATGTTGCAGGATAGGTGTTCGTTGATTGAGAGTAATCTGTTTTGTTAATTGCAAGGTCCGCAGAGACCGCCGATACCTGTGGTTGCGTTGTGCTGCGTTCAGCATTACAAGTCAAGCCTCGTGTCCTTTAACCACCCCCCGGGTTTGTGTGGGGGGTGGTTAACCAACTAATTGCAACACTGACGCGTACGCTTCGACTATTTGCGCAAATTGCAATCATATCCACTCTCAATTTAATACAATACACAAAGGATCACTTTTAGACACTAATTCGTTACGAATCTTCAATTTATTACAATCATTTCCTCTAATTAATAGCGAGGGACTTTTGTGAATTTTTTTTTTTTTGCAATCACTCATTGTTTGATATTGATGATTTGTTGTTTTTTTTGGACCGAAAATTACAAATCAATTGCCTGAATTTATTTGAAAAAAAATTCGATTTGTTTCTGATTGAAAAGTGACTATTACTACTGGGGATAAAATTTACAATAGTAAACATTTTGTCTGACTAAAACAGATTTTTACTACTGATACTGTAATTAATAGCTCAAAAAATTATAAAAGCACTTGTCTGACTTGAAAAAAATTTACTACTTCGCCCAAGTTGAAAGAGAGAATTTTTTTTTCATACGTACTCCTAGAAAAATTGCAATTAATCTTAAAAATTTTATTAAAACTCGTCGAAAGAATTCAATTTTATATTAAATTGTCAATTATTTAATAAATTTAATGTATTTTTGAATTTAAATAATTTAATTCTCTTACAATTTTCTAATAAAAATTCATATAAAAATAAATTTTATTTAAAGTATTAGATAGTAATTGAAAATTTAAAAGCATTATAGGATGAATTTTAAGAAATAATTAAATTTTGAAAAGGTTTCAAATTTAAATTTTTGAAAATCGAAATTTTTAATACTTTTAATGAACAATTTAGTTGAATTTCTTAATATTTCAAATTCAAACATCAATTTTAATTATTTTCATATTCAAAATTAAAAACACATACATTCAATTATTCTAAAAAATTTTCATAGAATTCTTTATAAAATTTAATTATTTTTAAAAACTTTTTGCAATTCAATGATTCTCAATATCTAAATTTCATAAAATTTCCAAAATAGAATTTAATTATATAAAATTTTTTTTTTAAATTCTTCGCATAAATTCAATTTTTTTGCGAATAATTAAATTTTTCATTAGAATTTAATTATTTACATTTTTTTATATAAAATTCTTCACAAGAATTCAATTATTTTCACAAATAATAAAATTTTCCACTGAAATTCAATTATTTCAAGAATTTAAATAAAATTCAACGTAAGAATTAAATTATTTTTTATAAATATTAAAATTCTTCTCAGGGATTCAATTCTTGTTATAAATAATAAAATTCATCTACAAATTTCAATTATTTTAATTTTTAATAAAAATTCATTTAAAAATAAATTTTGGTTAAAGTATTAGATAGTAATTGTATAAGAAATGCATTATCAGATGAATTTTAAGAAGTAATTAAATTTCGAATAAGATTCAAATTAAAATCTTTGAAAATATGAATTTTTCATAGTTTTAGTTAGCAATTGTATAAAAATTGGTCGACTTTTTTAATATATATATATATATATTTAATTATTAATTGCTTAATTAATAAAAATAATTGATTTTGATAAGAATTTTAGTTAACAACTCTATAAAAAATAATTTAATTTTTTAGAAGTTATAAATAAATTTCATTTTTTAGAAATAATTTAATTTTGAAAAGGTTTCAAATTCAAATATCAACTTTAATTTTTTCAGCTTCTAAATTCGAACAAATTAATTTTTAATAACATTCTAATTAAAAATTCTGACAAAGTTATTTTTTGGAAAATTTTTATCACAATTTTTTTTATATTAGTTTTATTTTAAAATATTTTAATTTTGTTGAAATTTATTGAATTTTTTAAATATATATTCATTTATTAAAAATAATTAATTTTGATACGAATTTTAGTTAAAAACTCTAAAAAAATCGAATTTTTGAAAAGTTAGAAATAATTTCTAAATTAATAATTTAATTTAATTTAAAAAATTATTGAAAATAATTTAATTAGAGAAAAATTTTAGTTGAAAATTTCGGAAAATAATTTAATTGAAATCTTGAAAATAATTTTGAATAAGTTACAGTAGCAATTTTTATAAAAAATTTGGGTGAAGTAGTAAACTTTTTTAACAGTCAGACAGTACTTTTCAAATTTTTTGAACTACTAATTATAATATAAGTAGTAAAAATATGTTTTAGTCAGACAAAACTTTTACTATTGTAAATATTAGCGTCAGTAGTAAGAGTTACTTTTAATCAGACACAAGTCTAATTTTAAAATTTTAAACAAGTAGTAAAATTCAGTTTAAGTCAGACAAAAATTTTTTTTGTAGTTTTAGTTTCAGTGGCAAGTGTCAATTTCAGTCAAATGTTATTTCTACCCTATTTTTTCTTTTTTTCTTTAATTTATTATTATTACAATTATATTATTTTATTATTGTTAATCATTTCAGTAGTAATAGTACGTTTTTGTCAGACTAGCATTTTTAAATTTTCTCGGAGTAGTTTTTGCTTCAGTGGCAAGTGTCAATTTAGACAAATGCTCTTTCTTTTCTATTTTTATTATTTATTAATTTATCTATTATTATTATTCACTATTTCAGTAGTAAAAGTACATTTTCGTCAGACTAGAATTTTTAAATTTTGACATTTTCATTAAAAATAAGTAGAGAAAATTATTCTCGTCATTTCGTTAGTAATTTTCTACTAATTCAGATTTAGAGAGTAAAATAGATAAAAAAATTTATTTGTTTTAATTTTTATAGTAATAAAATAAAATTTGTTTCAATTTTTTATAGAATAAAATAAAAACAATCGAAAATACGTAAATTGGCTTAATTTCACCTTTTATAGAAATAAACTAAACCACAATATCGTTTTAGAAAAAAAAAGTTAATAAAATACAATTTCAAAATCGATTAAATGGAAATGCATTTCTTTTTTCTTTTTTCTTTTTTTTTTTTTTTGAAAAAAAGAGGCGAAAATATATATATTTGAGTGGCTCTTGAATTTTTTGGTGCCAGGTGTAATAAAATTATCAATCCACTCACCCGTGGTGTACATGGCGACGCCTTTTAGAGTCACTGGTTCCAATATTGTGGGTTCACTGCGTCCTTTAGAGTTAACCGCGTAGAGGAATAATTTGTAGCTTTTTCCCGTAGAGAGGCCGGCAACTTCAAAAAATGGACCACCCGGATTTGCTGGCACTGTTTTGTTTAAAATAATTGGTCCATCATTGTCCTCATCGTCGCTCACCACTTCAAGATGATAACTTTGAATTGGCAAACCGCCATCGTAACCTTCTAAACAACGAACCATTAATCCAGTTCCCGATTTCGAGCCAATTTCTTCTAATTCCAATGGCGAGGACATTTCATTCGCTGTGCAATTATGCAACACGTACGGACGCCCTGCCGCAATTACCTGTAACATTTAAAAAAAATTTATTTTTTTAAAGTTTAAATAAAAAATCAACACAGTTTTTCTAAGGATATTAAATTCAGACAAAACAAAGGAATCAAAAATACTGTAAATTTTTGAGTTTCTATATTCTATAGTAAACAAACCCTCTCTCTTTTTTTCAATTACTTTTTTCCACAATTTTAATAAAGTTCTGCGTCAGAATTCAATTACTTTCAGAAATAAAATTCTTGAATTTAAATTAATTGAATTTAAAAACGATTCTTCTGAAATTAGTTCAGTTTCTTAATATATATTTAATTGATTATTAAAAATAATCAAGTTCTGCAAGTATTTTAGTTAAAAACACTTAAAAAAAATGGAATTTTGAAGCAGTAACAAATAATTGCGGAAATTTCAATTATTTTCAAAAGTAATAAAAATCTTCGCCAAAATTCAATTATGTTCAAAATTTTTTTTAAATTCTGGTTAAAATTTAAATTATTTTTATAAATAATAAAATTCTTCTTCAAAATTTAATTACTTTCAAAAATTTTTTTAAAATTCTTCTCAAAATTTTAATTATTTTCATAAATTTTCCTCATTTCAATGATTTTCAATATCTACTATTTTCATTTTCCAAAAGAAATGAATTATTGAAAAAAAATTCAATAAAATTGTACGCAAACATTTAAATAAAAAAATATTTCAATAAATAATAAAAATTTTACAAAAATTGAATTATTTACCAATTTTTTTTATAAATTTCTTCCCAAGAAATCAATTATTTTCAAAATAATAATATTTTTCACTGGAATTCAATTATTTAAACAATTTCAATAAAATTCTTCCCAGAAATTCAATTTTTTTTTACAAAAAATCATATTTTTCACTGAGATTCAATTATTTAAATTTTGTTATAAAATTATTTGCAAGAATTCAATTATTTTCTGAAATATTAAGATTTTGCATTAAAATTCAATTATTTAAAGAATTTCAATAAAATTCTTCCCAGAAATTCAATTTTTTTTTACAAATAATCAAATTTTTCATTGGAATTCAATTATTTAAAATTTTTTTATAAAATTCTTTGCAAGAATTTAATTATTTCTCAAATAATAAAATTTTCCACTTCAATTTAATTATTTAAAAAATTTAAATTATATTCTTCGCAACCATTCAATTATTTTTTACTATTAGGTATTAAAATTCTTCTAAAGGATTCAGTTTTTTTTTACAAATAAATAATATTAATTAATAAATAATAATAATATAATAATTTAATTAATAATAATAATCAATTAATAATATTCTGAAATATTAAGATTTTGCATTGAAATTTAATTATTTAAAGAATTTCAATAAAATTCTTCGCAGGAATTAAATTTTTTTTACAAATAATTAAATTTTTCATTGGAATTCAATTATTTAATTTTTTTTACAAAATTCATTGCAAGGATTAAATTATTTTTGCAAATAATAAAATTTTCTACTTAAATTCAATTATTCAAAAAATTTCAATAAAATTCTTCTCAGGGATTTAATTATTTTTATAAATTAATAAAATTCCTCGACAAATTTCAATTATTTTTAATACAATGTGATATGAACTCCTAGAAAAATTGCAATTATTCTTAAAAATTTTATTAAAACTCGTCGAAAGAATTCAATTTTATGAAAATTTAAATTATTTATTAAATAATTTACTTTTCTATTTAAATATTTGAATTCTCGTAGAATTTTCTAATAGAAAATTTATTTAAAAATGAATTTTAGTATAAATTTTAGATAATAATTGAATTTAAAAATAAATTTTAGTTTAAATTTTAGATAATAATTGAATTTAAAAAGAATTATACCATGAATTTTAGAAATAATTGAATTTTAAAAAGGTTTCAAATTACAATGTTTGATATTTTGAATTTTTATTACTTTTAACTAACAACTCTATAGAATTAAGTTTTTTTTTTGAAAAAGTTTAATTAAATTTTTTTGTAAATTATTTGAAGCTATTATTTTTTTAATTATATATTTAATTGAGAAATTTCCTAATAATCGTAATTTCGTAAAATTTAATTCTAAACAAATGGATTTGAAACTCAAAGAACTTTTTCGAAAATTATTAAAAATACCAAATTGATTTACAGAAGAATTTTAGTTAAAAATTTTTAGAAAATAATAATTGAATTGAAATGATGAAAATAATTTTGAAAAAGTTACAGTAACAATATTCTTATAATATAAAATAATAATTTTATCTTTCGTTCATCTTCATGTTTTATAACAATATTTCTATTAAATCATTTCATTCATTTCCTTTAATTAATATTTTTATAAGTTGTTGAATATTTCAAAAAGGTTTGAATTGAAATCTTTTGAAGAATTTTAATTCCTATGAAAAAATAAAAATGATTAAATATTTATTTTAAAAAGATGTTATTTCACTTGTCTTATTAATTGACACACGAGTGAATTTTTTCATTTCACAATTAACATTGATGAGAATATTCTTATTAAATAATTCTTATATATTAATAACTACATTGAAAAAAATTTAGTTCATTCAAATAACAGACTAATTGACTATTATCAATTAAATATTTGCTTGAATCAAATAATATTTATTGGAGTCAATCAAATGGTATTTGAACCAATAATTTCAGTATTTGAAGCAAATATGAATTTGGACCATTTAATTGACTCCGATAAATATTATTTGATTTTAGTTAAATATTTAATTGATAATAGTCAATTAATCGGTTATTTGAATCAAATAAATTTTTTTTTCATTATAGTTAATATATCTTCTAATATAGAAGATTTAATTGATGTTAATTGTGAAATGAAAAATTCACTCGTGTGGCATAATAAGACAAGTGAAATATAACAAAAATTTTATGTCACTCTCTCTCTTTCTTGTTAAGAAAAATTTTTTTTTTTTACATAAAAAACATGAGCAGGAATAAGTTATTTTTGATGAAGATTTATTGACAAGAGAAACATATTAGCATAGAATATTCGTCTTAATTAAGAGCGAAGGTATTGTAGAGATAAAAATGCCTTTTTTCCTCTTCTTTAATCATAACCAGATTCGGATGTCTTGTTGAGTATGATAATTAATCTATCAGGAAGCAATGCATAACTCTCAGTCTCTCGCTATATAGTGAAGATCGACGGTCCGTTTGTCAGAAGCGAGAGATGAGAGTAGATGAGAGGAGGGGCTGTGATAAATTGTTCGTGGAATAAAAATAAGAAGATTGGAAAGTAGAGACTCACTTGAAACAGGCAGGGCGTCCGTTGTCTGCCCACCTGGTTACTCGCCCAGCAGGCAATCGTTCCATAATCCATATCTGTGGCAGGCGTGTAGTTTAATATAGAGTTATGTTCGGGCCGTTCATTTAACTCTCCTGAGTTGTTAAAAGTCCAATGGAATGTCTGAGGTGGAGGATGACTGTCAACTGCACACAATAATGATACAGTTTCTTGTTTTAAGGCACCAACCACCACCTCTGCTTTGCCCTCCTTACACATCGGCGTATCTGCAATCAACAAAATTTTATACTCAATATATTTTATTTATTTTTTTATTTTTTATTCATATTCAGGGTTGCCACAGATCAGTAAAATCAGAAAAAAGTATGGAAAAGTTAAATTGGCCAGGGAAATGTCAGGAAACTTTTTCAAAAGCACTGGAATTATATTAAATTTCTCGGTAAAATTCATCAGAAAATTTTGAATTTTGTTGACTTTGTTGTGTGTCTCATGAACTGTGTTTTCAAAATAAAATAAATTATTTAAAATTTTTCTATAAAATTCTTTGCAAGAATTCAATTATTTTTACAAATAACATTTTTTTCATAGGAATTCAATTTTTTTTTACAAATAATACAATTTTCCACTGGAATTCAAATAAGATTGAATTTTTTTTTTATAAAATTCTTCGCAAGAAATCAATTATTTTCAGAAATAATCAAATTTTTCACTGAAATTCAATTATTAAAAAAAATTTATAAAAATCTTTGCCAGAATTCAAGTATTTTTTAAAATAATAAATTCTAGTTCCACTGGAATTCAATTATTTAAAAAATTTCAATAAATTTCTTCGCAAGAATTCAATTATTTTAACAAATAATCAAATTCTTCATGGGCATTCAATTATTTAATTTTTTTTATAAAATTATTTGCAAGCTTTCAATTTTTTAAAAAAAAAAAGTTTTTACAAATAATCAAATTTTTCACTCGAATTCAATTATTAAAAAATATTTTATGACATTCTTCGCAAATATTCAATTATTTTTTCAAAAAAAGAAATTTTTCAATGAAATTCAATTTTTTAAAAAATTTTATTAAAACTCTTCTTAAGAATTCAATTTTTATTACAAATAATCAATTTTTTCACTAAAATTTAATTATTTAATATTTTGTTCATAAAATTCTTCTCAAGGATTCAATTAATTTCTCAAATAATCAAATTTTTCACTGAAATTCAATTATTAAAAAAAAATTTTATAACATTCTTCGCAAGAAATCAATTATTTTCTAAAATAATAAAATTTTTCAATAAAATTCCATTATTTAAAAAGTTTTAATAAAAATCTTCTTAAGAATTTAATTTTTTTTACAAATAATTAATTTTTCCACTAAAATTCAAATATTAAAAATTATTTTTTATAACATTCTTCGCAAGAAATCAATTATTTTCTAAAATAATAAAATTTTTCAATAAAATTCAATTATTTAAAAAATTTCAATAAAACTCTTCTTAAGAATTCAATTTTTTTTTTACAAATAATCAATTTTTTCACTAAAATTCAATTATTTAAAACTATTTTTTATAAAATTCTTTACAAGAAATCAATTATTTTCTAAAATAATAATTTTTTTTAATGAAATTTAATTATTTAAAATTTAAAATTAAAATTATTATATTTAAAATTTTCAATAAAACTCTTCTTAAGAATTCAATTTTTATTACAAATAATCAAATTTTTCACTAAAATTCAATTATTTAAAATTTTTTTTTATAAAATTCTTCTGAAGAATCAATTATTTTTCTGAAATAATGAAATTTTTAACTGAAATTCAATTATTTAAAAAATGTCAATAAAATTCTTCTTAAGAATTCAATTTTTTTTAACAAATAATCAAATTTTTCACTGGAATTCAATTATAATTGAATTCCAATTTAATTAATTATTCTTTTCAATAATAATTAAAAAGAATTTTATAAATTCTTCTTAAGAATATAATTATTTTTTCAAATAATAAAATTTTTTACTGGAATTCAATTATTAAAAAAAATTGTATAACATTCTTCGCTAGAATTCAATTATTTTTTCTAAAAAAAATATTTCACTTCAATTTAATTATTTAAAAAATTTCAATTACATTCTTTGCAAGAATTCAATTATTTCCTCAAATAATAAAATTTTCCATTGGAATTCAATTATTTATTTATTCAAAAGCACACATTCATTTAAAAAAATTCAATAAAATTCTTAGCAAGAATTCAATTATTTTTATAAATATTAAAATTCTTCTCAAAGATACAAATATTTTCATAAATAATAAAATTTATCATCAAGTTTCAATTATTTTTAATACAATTTTATATGAATTTCTCGAAAAATTGCAATTATTCTTAAAAATTTTATTAAAACCCGTCGAAAAAATGCAATTGTATTAAAATTTCAATTATTTAATAAATTATTCATTTTTGTATTTAATTAATTGAATTCTTGTATAATTTTATAATAAAAAATCATAAATAAATAAATTTTAGTCAAAGTATTAGATAGTTATTGAAAATTAAAAGCATTTTAGGATGAATTTAAAGAAATAATTGAATTTTGAAAAGGTTTCAAATTCAAATATCAATTTTAATTATTTTCTGATTCAACATTTTAAAAAGTTACAAAAATTTAAAAAACTAATATTAAAATTTGTCAAAAAATTTATCTTTTAAAGTATAAAAAATTCCATATATTAAAAGAAAATTGTGGATTTCCAAATTTTTTTTGCAATAAATATTTTAAAAAAGTCATTCTCCAAATTTTAATTAATGGAAATTTCAATTAATTAAACAAAAAAAATTTTAATAAATAAAAATTAAAAATAAATTAAAAATTATTAAAACTAATTAGATTAGAAAAAAATTTTAGTTAAGATTTCTGGAAAATAATTGATTTGAAATCTTGAGAATAATTTTGACTAAGTTACAGTAGCAATTCTTATGAAGAATTTGAAATTTTTTAAAATCGGAATTCCTGTGGAAAAATAATAATAAATATTTTAACTAAAATTACAATTTTATTCATTTTATTAAAATAAAAATAGAAAACAGAAATTCATCAATTTTTCTGCATTAGTAGTAAAGGTACGTTTTAGTCAGACGGAATTTTTGGACATTTATATTATTAAAACATTTTTTTATTGTTGAACATGGAATTATTTTAAAGTAAATTGTTATTTCGCAGTAGTAGATTATGGTTTTAGTCAGACAAACTTCTATGTTCTAGTATTTTTCTATATTTAATTAAAATTGAAATTAAAATTTTATTTACTTATTTAAAAATTTATTTACTTAATTAAAATTGAAATTAAAATTCTATTTACTTAATTAAAATTGAAATTAAAAGTTTTTACATTTAATTAAAAATTTGAAATTAAAATCAAAATTGTATTTATCCTATTAAAATTGAGATATCAAATTTATTTAATTGAAATAGAAACAAAAAATAGAATTTCCTCAATCTTTTTCGAATCAGTAGTAAAAACACGTGCAGACAACAAAGAAAATAAAAATACAAAAATAACATTGTAACTTATAAATAATTTCGCTCTATACATCCCGTGCATAATATTCAATTTTATGATTTCATAAAATCACCACACCGATGATTATACGATTGAGAAATTAAAAAAATTTTTTTACGATTCAAAAAAAAAAATATATTGCGAATTTTACGATTCGATGATTTACGATAAATGGAAATATTATCGATTGTTGATCAAAGAGAAATGTCAATGCAATGGAGGGAAAGAAAAATTTCATTTTGCAATAAAAATATATTATGTGCATCAAACAAAACTTTTTTAATGTATTGCTGCAAGTGCGTCTATAGAAAAAATGATTTTATTCACGTGAAAGAGCGAAAAAAAAATTGTCACGCAGCTTATCATATTTTTCTTAACCTCGACAGATTTTATGAATGTCATAAAAAAACAGAAAATATTTTCAACTCCTATATTTTCATTTAAAGAATGCTTTATATACTGACAGTTGAAGGGGAAAAAAACTTCTCTGACTATAATTTACTCCAAGTAGTTTAAAAATCTTGTGAACTATGGCAATAATACTTCTTAAAATATCGTAAATTTATTTTTTTTAAAGAAAAAAAAAAATTCTCCGAACAGAAAATAACATTGTGATAATAATGTTAGAAAAATTTCTACTTGAATAAGTGGAAAATAATTAAATTAGGGAAAAATATTTAATTATATTAATAAAAACTGTTTATTATAAAGAAAGAAAGAAAGAAAGAAAGAAATAAAGAAAGAAAGAAAGAAATAAAGAAAGAAATATTTAATATTATTATTAAATGTTTGTAAATTTTTTATATTTTTATTTATGTTCTTTAGTAGTCTTTATATTATTACTAACATAATTTTGATTGCATTGATTTTTTTAACTTTTCTGAACTTTATTCTGTATTTGAAATTTCAATGTAAAGAAAAGTCAGTATCTGTGGTAATAATTTAAGTTTTAATTTTAGTGCCAGTAGTAAAGGTTAGTTCGCAGTTAGAGAGAAGTTTTTCGAATTCTTATATAAACTTGATATCAGGAGTAAAAGACAGTTGCAGTCAGACATAACTTTTCCAAGTTCTTGTAAAATTAGTTTCAATGATAAAAAGTAAGTTTTATTGAGGCACTGTACTTTTCTAAAGTCCTGTAATTTTTCTCACAGTAGTAAATGTCATTTTTAGTCAGACAAGTGGATAAAATTAGTTTTGGACCACTTTTTCGACACTGCTTTCATGAATAGAAAAGTATAATTATCAAGGAATAAATTTTTTTTTGTAACTTTGTTTTTCTTAGATAATACGCTATCATGTTTTGTATTTTTTCGAAGTAGTAGAACAGGTATGTTTCAGTCAGACAGTAAAATATTTTCTTTATTTATTTATGTATCACAATTATTTGTATAATTAAATTACATCTTTACTGAGTAAATTTTTCTTCTCCTTTCTTCTCTGAGTGAAAAATTTATTTCCCTAAGCGAAAAGAAAAGGAAAAAAAATTAATGAATCCTATCCATCAAACACAAATATCGTGTCAATAAATAATTAATAGCCTTATCTCACAGTAAAATTTGCTAATTTGCCATGAGGTCCGGCGAAGAACATCGCGAGTCGTTTGGTAATTACTTAATCGATGACGCTTGCAAGTAGGTGGTTCAAGTTATGCGGGCGAGGGGTTGAAGATAGAGGGTTGGGATTAAAGGTAAAGCGCCGCCTCAAGTCGAGGCTCTCCTTTTCTTCTTTACTCTCTCTTTCCCTTCTTCATTCTCCTGGGGGTCGATTGTGTAATTTCACTCCTCTCTCATTCCACTTTCACTCCACTTTCACTTTTACTCAATTTTTATCACTCCACTTTCACTTTCCCTCAAATTTTATTTTTTCTCCAATTTCAATTTTAATCAAATTTTATTTTTAATACACTTTTATTTTTACTCTATTTTTGCACTTCACTTTCACTTCATTTTCACTTTTACTCATTTTTTATTTTCAATCTACTGTTACCTTTACTAAATTCATAACTTGAATAATTTTTGACCATTTTTTTGTTTCTTGGTCGCAAATTAAAGAGGGATTAATGCTTCTTTTCATTGGACCAATAAGAATTTTTTTTTAAATTTTTGATAGCCAGCGTCCCCACTCGCCCGTATCAGAAAAACGAAAATTGGAAAAAAATCGAAAAAAAATCTCCTATTCGTTTCTACTATCTGCTCCTATCGCCTATTCCTACTGATTTCATTGATAAAAGGAGAAAGTTGAAAAATTCTCTCCTACTGTTTCCTTTTTCAATAATAGTGGTAGGGGTAGGAATAGAGAGTAGAAAAGAACAGGAAGGTAGAGAAGGGAAGGGGAGAGTGCAAGAGAGAGAGAGAGAGAGAGTAGGAGAGTAAATGAGCGAGACTAGGAAAGAATAATAGAGTAAATCAGAGAGTAGGAAAGAATAGGAGAGTAAATGAGAAAGTAGGAAAGAATAGGATAGTAAATAAGAGAATAGGAAAGAATATGGGAGTAAATTATAGAGTAGGAAAGAATATGAGAGTAAATTAGAGAGTAGAAAAGAATAGGAGAGTAAATAAGAGAGAGTAGAAATAAATAGGAGAGTAAAGAAGAGCAGGAGATAGTAGGAAAGAAGAGAAGGAGAGTGAAGAAAAAAGAGTGGGAAGAAGAGTGAAGAACAGAGGGAAGCGGGCAAGGAAAATAGAGTGAAAAGCGAGGGGAAACAGAGAGAGAGAGAGAGAGAGGAACGAGGAGGGGAAAGCAAGAGGAAAGGGAAGACGAAAGGGCAGGGAGGGGAGGTTAAAAGAGAATGGGGTTTTGGGGCGTGGGACAGAGCGGTTTTCTCTGAAACACAGAGCACAGGTTATTCTATTAGAATAGTAGTACCCCCCAGTGGTAGCCTGGCGTATCTGCATCTTGTAAATGACCTAAGAGGGTAGGAAGGACTGCGATGCATATTCAATGTATGTAAAACGTAGCTGAATATTCATGTGTGGGTGAACGCAGCCTGGCAAGGTGCTAAGCCAGAGTATAGTTGAATGTATTGGTGTCAGTTTTCGTTTGTGGTGCAATGGTGAAAGTTGAAACTAAAGTCGACTTACTTTAGTAACAACTATGATATTTTAAACCATGTTTCAATAATGGCACTCGATTCCCTTATCCCTCCATTCGAATTTACAAAAAAATTCATACAAGTTTTATTCTCTCAAAAACAGTTTAAAAATGCATTTAACAAGATTTTAAAAATTTTTATTCTTCTTTTATTCATAAGATGACTTATTTATTCTTTTTTTTACGTAAATTTTAACTTTTTTTATATTATTTCTCTCTAAGTATTTTTTATAATACAATATTTTTAAAAATTAAAATACTAAATATAAAATAACTTTCTTTTTTAAAAATCCTGTTTTTTGTCTTAATTTGATATTCTTAGAAAAACTGCGAAATAAAATTTATTTTCCTTAAAAAATTATATTCGATCTATTTTTTTTTCAAAACATTAAAAATCCATCTTTTCGATGTGAAACGAATACATTTACTTTTTTTTGGTTTTGAGGATAAATTTTGGATTTAATTATTTATTATAATTTATTTCTTCACTTGAAATAAATTTGAACTAAAGGGAAAATTCACTTTTTAAGTATTTTCGCAATAATGAATTTTACCGTTTTAGAGAAGATCGTGTCTTTGGCTGACTATAACGGAGCTTTACTACTAGAATGAAATTATTTGTCCGGATATAACTGAAGTAACTACTGGGTATTAAACACAATTCCCCTTGGGTGTAAAATGACTGAAATGTGGGACTAATTGAAACTACTATTGTCTGCAGTTACTAATTAATTTTACCCCGATACTATAAAAAGACAAAAAAAATACTATTTTCATTTTCTCATTCTTTTCCTCTCTTATTCAATTCGTTACTTTTTTTTCCATATTCTCATTTTATTCCATTTATTTTATTATTTATTTCATTTCCCTCATTTTCATCATATTTAAATATTAATTTTTCTTTTTTCCTAAAATGCAAATACTTTTGTATCAACTCATTTTAATAAACACTTTATATTCCCTGCTTAATAATATTCATGACACGCATTTCTGTTTAGAATAATATTATTAAATATATTTTACACGAAAAGTCGTGTATAAATATTTTTGGAGTAAAATCCCTTAAAATGTACATAATATAAAATTATTCCAAAAGACTTACACATTATCTGGAGAGTGACGGGATTACTGTCTGTTTTCCCTTCGTTGTTGACAGCTCGACAGGTGTAATTTCCAGCTGAATTTCGTGTGACTCTTTGAAGTACTAAAGAACGATCACTCAAGATGGTGCCAGTTGTTCCTCTTATTTCTTTACCCTGAGAAAAAAATTGAAAAGAAAAATTAAAATTATGCAATTGCCAGTAAAATCAAAAGTATTTTTGAATTATTTAATAGAAATAGAAATCCAAATAAATGAAAAAAATTTTAAATATACGATATTTAAAAAAAAGAATTACTTTTTTTAAATTTTGTTTCTTGGTTCAAAAATGTAAATACTTTGATAATAAAATATTTAACTTAGAAATTTTTTTAAGTAGAATATTTTTTAAGTAGAAAATACTTTAAGTACAAAGTATTTTTAGTATAAAGTACTTTAAGTACAAAGAATTTTTAGTAAAAAATATTTCAAGTACAAAGTATTTTTAGTGTAAAAATACTTCAGGTAAAAAGTATTTTTAGTATAAAATACTTCAGATATAAAGTATTTTTAGTATAAAATACTTCAGATACAAAGTATTATTAATATAATATTAAAAAATTCATTAAAAAAAAATACACTAAATAAAAAATACTTTCGATATAAAATACTCAAAATTAAAAATACTCTGAATGAAAAATACTTTGATTACAAAATACTCTGAATAAAAAATACTTTGATTACAAAATACTCTAAATATAAAATACTGTGAATAATTTTTTTTTGAATAATTTGTTAAAAGAATTTTTTTTGAAAGTAATTTTTTTTTTCATTGAATACTTTTCATTGAACCCGAGGAGTATAATGTGAAAATTGAACAATAGAGAGAAATTACAGGAATGTTAATGACATTATTAATAATGAGATGGGGGGATAATTAAATGATAAATGTTGAAACTCACGTCTTTGTACCAGGACAATTTGTAAGCCTTTGGATTGGCTTTGACGCTACATTCAAAATAGACGTCATCGCCTTCTTTGATGTCTTTGGAGATGAGAGGTTCCCCCATTCTTAAGGTCACGACCGGCGGGTAATGCACGTCTAAAAACCATTTATCCTCTATTGCACTATCAGGTATCACTGGATTTTCAGCTCGACATGTCAAGTATTTCCCGTCGTCATTAATACTCGGCACAAAGTTCAAAACACTCAGTGTTTGATTGTTCTTCAATCCATACTGAAAATTCAATTTCATTTGTATTATTATCATTTTCTCAACCTCTAATCATATTATTCTGTATTATGTAATATATTATTATTAAATGAAAGAAATATTCTATTCTTCTTTTAAAAAAAAAGATAATTAAAATATAGTAAAGAATTAAAAATAATAATAAATAAAATAATAAAAACTGTTATATAAAAATTATTGTAAACAAATTATTATTTTTTTAACATTTTTAAATTGACATAAAAAATTATTCTGTACAAAAATTATCAAAAAGTATAAAAATTAATAAAAAAAAACGTTGGGAAATGTTAATAAAAATATTTTCAGTTCATTTTTGGAACATTTTTCGAAAAGAGCGTATTTTTAAGGGAAATTTTAGAAAAGGGAAACATTTTTTTTGCGATAAAAAGTAGCGAAGCTGTATTTGACATTATAGCAGGGTATTCATTTTCGAGATATCATTTTAATGATAGAGATGTGTTATATATATATATATGTATATAGAGAGAGAAACTGACGATATTTCTAAATGTTGAATGTAGATAACGTTTTTCGTTAGGATAAATGTCACAGTGTAGATGCTTTATGAAGCTTTCGAACTCTTTTTTTTTTCTCTTTCTTTCTTTACAGTCGTTCGTGTGTAATGAACGACTATAACGATCCAATAAAGCTGCATTCAAAGATTATTGCAAAATAGACATTGACATTATCAGACTTTACGAGCATTTTATAACTGACAATGAAAATTAGATTGAGTTAATCAAGTCCGAATGAAATGATGACATTAATAATAAACAATGACAATTAAAACTAAAAGTGACAATTAAAAGCTAAAAAATTGATAATAACAATTGAAAGCTAAAAATAATAATAAAAATTGAAAGCTAAAAAATAATAATAAAAATTGAAAGCTATAAAATATAAAAAATTGAATTTATAAATTAAGTATTTTCTATTTTTAATACTAAATTAGAAATTATTAAAATGGTATATTAAAACTTCTATTCTCTTGATTTTTAGAATTTCTGGTATTTTTCGAAGTAGTAGTAACAACATCTTTTAGTCAGACAACATTTTTTTATGTTGTCTGACAAAAAAAAATTTTTGTAAAAGACAGTAAATAATTTTTTTAATTTTGATAAATTTACTCGTAATAATAAATATTTAAGCAGACGAAATTTCTAGTATTTTTAGAATTAGTAGTAAAAGTACCTTTCAGTCAGACAACATTTTTCTCTAGTAAGTAAGAAAATAAATTTTTTTCTTTTTTTTTTTTTTATAATGAAAACTTGAAAATTTAAAAAAGTTTTCATAAAAAGATAGATTTATCATACCTGAAATATATGCATTTGATATAAAAGATTCAATAAAGTGAAAAATTGAAATTTCAGCCGTTTTTCGGTGTCAAATGACTCGAAGATGTCGGTATAAAAAAAAAGAAGAGAAAAGGGGTGGGAGGGGGTGAAAACTTTAACGTACAAAAAAAAAAAAGAAAAAAAAAAGTAAATTCCTTTGTGTGTTTAGAGATTCTTTATAAAGAGGTGAGAATCTTTTCAGAGGAAGAAATGAGGCACATTCCATGCGGTGGAACGTGTTCAGCTCCAAATGGGAAAAGTAAGCGGACCCCTAGAAGTTTCTCAAGTAAAGATTTGCAGAAACGTCCTGAACTTTTATTTTATTTTTTTTTTACTTTTCACACGTTCCTCTTCCTTCTATCAATTCAGAAAGAGATAATTATTTTATTCATAGGAAAAAATACACCTTTTTTTTACTTATTAAATTACTCTTCGATAAATTTTTATATATTTTGTATTTTATATTTTTGGTCTTTTGTATTTTATTAAAATTCGTCTTTTATTCTCTTTTTATTTTAAACTTTGCCTTTTATTTTTACTTTTTTTGTTAACTTTGCCTTTTATTATTTTCTCTTTCCAATATTTTCTTTTTTTTTTTTTTGTTTTACTGGAAAAGTGTTAATTTTATTTATTCATAAAAATACGCTCTTTTCTTTACTTTTATTATTTTAAAGATTTTTTATCGTTTCCCATTGTTTTCTATGTTTTCTTCACCAGAAAATAGTTTTAATTAATAAAAAAATTCCCTACTTAAAAATTTGTCAAGAAAACAAATTATAATTTAATAACTAAATTAAATAATAAAAAATAAACAAAAGTAAATTAATAGTTAATTTTATCAAATTAATCAAATTTACTTAATTACCGAATTAAATAATAAATGAAAAAAGAAAAAAACTTCACTTAATAATTATTTTTACTAAAATAATACAAATTAGACAAAAAAACATTTTTTTTAATTTATAAACTAAAAAATATTTTCAATCAACAAGAGGGAAAAAATTTCCATTTCAAATAAATATTTGTTGAAAATTTTTCGAAAAGGATTTGTCATGATGACAAAGTAGAGTGTTGCAATGATTGCAGTGACTTTAAGTCTGAAGTGTCAACGAAAGAAGCTACGGAAAATGAGATGAAGAAAAAGAAATAAAAAAAAACCACACACACGTAGAGACAAAATGGAAAAGAGAAACTTAATGTTTTGTAGAAAGCTCTCAGTTCAAAACCTCTCCTCGAGAAACAACAAAATGCTTTACCAACGGTGAAATCAGTGACATCATAAAGTTGAAAATCTTTTGGGAGCTCCATTCTTTCAAGTAGAGTGCTCTTTGAGTATTTTATATTATTTTATATTATTATATACTGTTTTGTATTATTATATATTCTTTTATATTATTATTCATTATTTTCAATTATTTTCAACCATTTTCTACGATTTTCTACGATTTTCTATTATTTTCTAATATTTTTTAATATTTCCTATTATTTTCTCAGTATTTTAAATTATTTTACAGTGTTTTTTATATTTTCCTATGATTTTCTACTATTTTCTCCCCTATTATTTTTTAGTATTTCTTATTATTATTTATTATTTTTATTTTTTATTTATTTATTTATTTTTTTATTTATTATTTTCTGTCTTTTAAATTATTTCACAGTATTTTCTATTGGTTTCTAAAATTTTATCTTTTTTCTACAATTTTATATTATTTTCTTAGAATTTTAAATTATTTTACAATATTTTTTGTGGTATTCTATGGTTTTCTACTTATTTTTTTTATTATTTTCCACTATTTTCAATTTTTTTCTATTATTTTCGAAGTTTTTCTACTAATTTTTAGTATTTTATAATATTCTCTATTGTTAAATAACAGAAAACAATAGAAAATATAATAAAAAAATAAAAAATTCTAAGAAAATAATAGAAAATAATAAAAAAAAGTAGAAAATAGTAGTAAATAAAAGAAATAAATAGAAAAACATTATTTTCTATTATTTTTTTAAAAAAATCAATTATTTTATTATATTTCCTATGGTTTTATATTCTTTTTTAATTATTTTCTTAAATTTTCTATCGTTTTCTATGATTTTCTACTAATTTCTGTTATTTTCTACTATTTTCAATTATTTTCTGTTGTTTCTATGATTTTTTATTTTTGCTACGACTTTCTATTTTTTCCTTTCATTTTTTACTATTTTCTACTATTTTCTGTTTTTTAAATTATTTTACAATATTTTCTATTCGTTTCTATGATTTTATATTATTTTTTTAGAATTTAAAATTATTTTACAATATTTTTTGTGGTTTTCTATGGTATTCTACTAATTTGTATATTATTTTAAACTATATTTAATTTTTTGTTTTTGCTTTCTAATTTCTAGTATTTTTTAGTATTTCCAAAAGTGTAGTACAGAAAAGAATAGAAAATATAATAAAATAATAGAAAATTCTAAGATAATAATCGAAAATGTAAAAAATATTAGTAAATAATAGAAAAAAATAAAGACATTATTTTCTATTATTTTTAAAAAAATTTCAATTATTTAATTATATTTCCTATAGTTTTTTATTGTTTTTTAAGTATTTTCTCCAATTTTATATCGTTTTTTATGATTTTCTACTAATTTCTGTTATTTTCTACTATTTTTAATTATTTTCTGTTTTTTCTATGATTTTTTATTTTTTCTACGTCTTTCTATTGTTTTTTTTATTTTTTACTATTTCCTATTTTTTATTATCTTCTCAGTCTTTTAAATTATTTTACAACATTTTCTATTGTTTTCTATGATTTGATATTTTTTTCTGCAAATTTTTTATTATTTCCTATTATTTTGTACTATCATCTATTATTTTTTATTATTTTCTTAGAATTTTAAATTATTTTATACAATTTTCTTTATGGCTTTCTATGATTTTCTACTAATATCTATTATTTTTTACAATTTTCAATTTTTTTCAATTGCTTTTTAATATTTTCTATTTTTTTCTACTAATTTCTATTAGTTTCTAATATTCTCTATTGTTTAGTAAAAGAAAACAATAGAAAATAAAATTAAAAAATAGTAAATTCTAGGAAAATAATAAAAAATAATTCAAAAAAAAGTAGAACCACAAGAAATGAAAACCACTTTTTTGAAATCTATTTTACCTTCATTTTCTCAAAATCACACATTAGCTCCATAAAAAATTTTTTATTTACCACCAAAAACTAAACCTATTAGTGCATAGGACAAAGTCAAATTATTGTTTCGTCGTCACTACTGAAAGTGACAGAGGCGAGCAGTAATTAATGAAAAAAAAAATAAAATAAAAAATGACAGTTCGAAAAAAAAGTTTTAAAAAATGATGAAAAAATGAAAAAAAAGAAGGAAAAAAGAAATGAAAAGCTAAAGGAAGGTAATTGAGTAAAAGTGGAATGAAAGAGAATCTCGTATTGCAATAGGAAAACCAAACGGAAAAATACGTTTTCCAGACGACCTACACTGGGGAAATGAATACTTGATTGATTGTGATTGGAAAAATATCGAGAAACGAAATTCCTTGGTCAGTATAGAAAAATCTATCCGCAGGCTTGAATTTTGCATTTGAAATGCTTTATCAGAAAAACAGTTTTTATCATTTTTTCGAAAAATAAAAATCCCTTTTCTTGTTAATACAAAAAAAAAAAAATTACTGTTAATTCACTTCAAAGAGGAAAATTCGAAATTTTTTATCTTCTTCCTTCCTCGTATTTACCATAGGAAGGAAGAAACTACAAAAAATTGGTTAGAATAGTACAATTTTTACAAAGTGAGAAAAAAACATTAATTTTGAATAAAAAAAGTTAAATAAATAAATAGAGAAAAAAAGTTTTCTATTAGAGGAAACTTACGGTCTTGGAGATTGTCATTTGTTCGTTAGTCTTCCACCAAGTTATCACAGCTTCCGGTTTTGAGCCTGTAGCTCTGCACTCCACCTCGTATTTTTTATCCACCATTACTTTCTTCTCCTTCGTCAGAATTTGTACTTTGTGCGGTTTTACTGTAAAGAAAAAAAAACAAAAAGGAAATTATTATTATTAATTATTATTAATTTATTAATAATTATTATTAGTAATTACTATTTTTAATTATTATTATTAATTACTATTTTTAATTATCAAATTAAATTTAGAAATTAATTTTATTGTCAAGAATTTATTTCGATAATTAATTTTTTAATTTTTTTTGGTACTTTTTATTCAATTAAGTAGGTAATTAATTTTATTATACAAGGCAAAATAATATAGAAATATTATTTTTTTAAACTAAATTAAAAAAATTTTGCTGATGAAAAAACTTTAGCCAACAATTTGAATGAATTGAATGAATTGAAAAATGAGAAATTCTGGTAAAAGTAAATAATAAAAAGAAAAAGATTGGCTTAATTGGAATTCTTTCAAAGTCCTTGTGGAGAGATAAGAAAACTCCTTTAGTCAGAAGTACAATAATATTCTCCTTTTAGTACATGCTAAAGTGGCAGTAAAAATAAAATTTACATGATAAGACTCTCTAAATTCTTAATTATTGTCGAATGTTAAAGGCACATTAGGTGGTTTCTAAAAAAAAAAATTAACGAAATAAAGAATTTCAACTTCTTTACACGCTTCCGTTTTTAACAAACCGGAAATAACGACAATGTCGAGTGTGTGTTATACTCATTCGAACTTTTGCAAAACTTTGTCACGAACATTTTTGACATTGATAGTTAAATATATATTTCTACTAATTTCCCCAGTCACGTTAATTATCAATTTTTCATTCGTCTTCTATTTTTGTATCGTAGTAATTACCATAAAAATTTTACTTTATATTATTTATTAAAAATAAAATGTAAAATAATTAAATATCTTATTTGTTGTATTCTATATTTATTTATTTATTTATATTTTTTATTCATTTTACATTTATTTTACTTTTATTTTTTTATTACTGAACAATGTTACTTTTAATTTTTAAAAAGTCCAACGTAACATTGTTGTCCGAATGTGTCGTTTTTATTAATAATTAAATTATTCTCAGACGTTAAATTACTATACAAATATGTTTTTATTTATATTTACTTTTAAATTTATATTTACATCTGTATTTCTATTTAAGTGTAGTTATTTACATTAATTAGTAGTTATTTACAGAATTACCATTTCCATTTATATTTGCTTTATTTATAGTAAGTCTGGTTTATTTATATTTTTTGCATTTGCTTTTACACTGATAAATTATTTGTACTAATTTAAAACGGTATTTTCAAAACGATATAATTGTGAATCCAATTTCTATAATAGTTGGTGGTGAACTTTCTGGTTGAATACCACAGACTTGAGTTTCGAAAGTGGATAAAGTTAATTGACTCAATTATAGTTCAGTTGACCTTTCAAAGGTTGATGAACGTCATGAAAATGTCATAAACATTTTCTTTATTATTTTTCATCGCAATTATCACAATTCCACATTTTTTGTTTTATGAAAAATATTTATTTTCCTTATTTTTGTACATTAAAATAAATATCATTTTTTGAAAGTAAATATTAAGAATTTATTTCTATTAATTTATTAAAATTTGTCTATTTTTTCTATTTATTACTTTTTACTCTAATTACTAGTTTTTATTAATTTTATTAATTTTATTAATTGTATTAATTTTATTAATTTTATCAATTTAGTTTTATTTAACATATTTTATAATTTTTAATTCACCTAATAAAAAATATGAAAACGATATTGATCATAAAATAATCCCCAAATTTTATATTTAAAAAAAAAAATTGTAAGAATAATCAATAATCGAATGTAAATAGAATATTTTTTTGAGTGAATTAAAAAAGAGGAAAAAATTAACACAAAGAGTGAAAAAAAGGAAATAAATAAAAGTTAACACAAGAGGAAAGAAGGCAAAAAATATAAAAACTGAAGAAAAAAGGAAAGTAACCGAAAGGAAAAAAAGATTAAAAAAAACCGAAAAAGAATGAAACCGAGAGAAAAAAATATGCAGTAAAATTAAAAAAAAACTATAAATAATAATTGATGGGAGAATTAATTAAAAAGTGAAGCTAATTAATATCAGTTTTTATGTTCTAATAAAAAATAGATGAAATCAATGTAAATTCATACTTTATAATGAGCTTATAAAATAGAAACGAGGTAAAATTAAATTGCAAGATATTTTAGAATATGGATTCTCTTCCTTTTATGAGATATCCTTTGACGACGCAATTAGTACATTATAAAGGCATTTATGGGTCATTACAAAATGTTATCAGTAAACCGGACGCATTATTTTAATTATTCTCCTCTTTCAAGCTCTATTTTAATTTAATTATTTTACAATTAATATTTCTAATGGTTGTATGAAAAGAAAATTAATTTATATTTCCTAAAATCCAATTTCTTTATTCGTAATTAATTCCAATTGCTCGAAATTTTTATTCACCTTTAAATTTTAATTCAATATTTTAAATATTAATTGATTTAAGTCTAGAAAAATGTTACAGATTTCAAAAAAAAAAAAAATTGGTTTATTTTCATAAATGAATTTATGAGAAATTTTTCTATTAATTATCAATAAGTAGCAATTATTTAGAGCGCCGAACGGTTCAATAATGATTTTTATTATTTATGGAATTTATAATGCGTAAATAAATAGTTGGAGAAAGGAATTTATAAAAATTTTACTCCCGCATTAAAATTCCAAGTTGAAAAGAATTAATTTAGTTAAAAATAGTTAACGACAGGTGGATTTGTTGATTAATATTAAATTTAATTCAAATTCTGTGAATTATACTGTTTATGTGTATATGTAGATTAATTAAATGAAAACAGGAGAGACATAGTGTTTATCGAGGACTGATCTCGCGCACATGAATTTAACAAAGACGTTCACTTTGCCATAATAATTGTCAGTCTGTCATCGGAAGACAACGCAGTAGCAGTAATTGTACACGTTAATGCGATTGCATGGAAAGCAACCCATCAGCAGCACCTGATTTCTCCACTGTTGTGTTAGAGGAAACAGACATCGCGTGTTGACACGTAGACCGCTTAGCGTTTTAATATAAGTTTTCGAGAAATCGAAAATCCAACGAAATTTTATCCCTCAATTTGTCAAAAGTAAATTAATTTCACCGAATTTCTATAAATACTTGATAATTATTGCAGTTTGAAATTAAAGGAAATTTCAAGTTTCTTCTTTCTTTACTAGAATTTGAAGTAATTTTTAGATTAGTAGTAAAAGTTGGTCTTAGGCAGACGTAAAAATTCTAATGGACGAAAATTTTAATAATTTCAAAAATTAGTAGTTTTTACAAGTAGTAAAAGTTTCTTTTAGTCAGACGTAACAAAATCAATTGCCAAGAATTGTAATAACTTTAAAATAAGTAGTGACAGTTCGTTATAGTCAGACGGCTTTAGTAGCAGAAAATTTTAATTTTTTTTTAATTAGTAGTAACAGTCGGTCTTTGTAGTTTTGTAATTAGTAGTAAAAGTCGTTCTGAGTCAGACGTTACAATAACAATTGTCAAGAATTCTAATAATTTTAAAATAAGTAGTGATAACTCGTTTTAGTCAGACGAATTTAGTATCAGACAATTTAAGTGGTTTTTAATAAGTAGTACAAGTCGGTTTTAGTCAGACGTAGCAATAAGAGACGCTATGAACTGTAATTATTTTTAAATTTTTTTGTGTATGGTATTTAAACATTTTTCATTTTTTATTTTCATATTAAATTACATTTTGAAAATAGAAAAAAAATTATTATAAGCAAAATTCAAATTTGTTTACAATTTTCACAAATTTTCACAAATTAAAATTTTGTGAAATTTCAATTTTCAAGGAATTTTATTAAAAATTTTAAAGATTACTCAGATTTTTAAAAATTTTAAAAATTCAAATTCTTCTGAAATTTGTTAAATTTTTTTTAACATATATTTAATTAATTATTAAAAATAGCGGATTTATAGATGAATTTTAGTCAAAAGACTAAAAAAAAAAATTTGAATTTTGGAACAATTATAAATGATTGCATAAAATCAATTATTTTCAAAAATAATTAAATTCTTTTCTAAAATTCAATTATTTTAAAAATTTATACTAAAATTCTTGTCAATATTCAATTATTTTAAAAAAAATTTTCAATTTCATATATGAATTCTATTATTTACAAATTTTTTTACAAATTTCTTCACAATAATTTATTTTTAAAATTTTTAATAAAATTCTTTGCAAAACTCGATTTTTTAAAAAATTTTAATAAAATTTTTGGCAAACATTCAATTATTTATTTATTTTCAAAAATTTTCCTCAATTTCATATGAATTCTATTATTTACAAATTTTTTTTTAAATTTCTTCACAATAATTTAATTATTTTCAATAAATATTAAAATTTTTTACAGGGATTGAATTATTTTTATAAATAATAAAATTCTTTTCAGGAATTCCATTATCATAAATAAAACTCATAACAGAATTTCAAATTTTTAATTTCAAATTTTAATCAAATTCCTCGAATAATGTAATTATTCTTGATCATTAAAAATCGTCAAAAGAAATCAATTATTTAAAAATGTTTTCATAAAATTCCTTTTGAGAATTCAATTTTAAGAAATATTTTATTATTCAATAAATTGTCTTTTTTTTATTTAAATAATTGAATTCTCGTATAATTTTCTAATAAAAATTGATTTAAAAATGAATTTTACTTAAAATTTTAGATTCAAATATTTATTATTCAAATTATTCAAATATTCAAATAAATATTTGAATATTAAAAACATTATAGCATGAATTTAAAAAAATAATTGAATTTTCAAAAGGTTTCAAATTAAATTCTTTGAAAATTTTAATTTTTCATACTTGTAACCAACAATTCTGTAGAGTTAATTATTTTGAAAAAGGTTTAATTCGATTTTTTTTGAAATTATTTAAAGTGTATAATTTTTAATACGTATTCAATGGAAATATTTCTAAATAATTAAAATTTCATAAAATTGAATTGTAAACAAATGAA